GCTATAGTGACCACGTGGTCGTAAATATTACCAAAAGTGAAAAATACACTTCTGATCTTCGTTCTCCATGTTCAGACTGTTGGCAGCTGACATCAAAATAAAGATCCATGCTGCGTGACAGATACCGCCTTTCATATGAGTGTAAACAAGATGTAGATCTGATGGAGTTACAGACGTTCATTCAGGCCCTTTTCTCTCTCAACATTTGACAGACTATGGTAATAGTTATTTTGTTTTATAGGTAAGTTCAGGTGTTCCCTCGATACCCTTTGAAAACTAAATAGATTTATTCCATTTCGGACACTTAGTGAAGATGCGATTGCATACAAAGGGCAGAAGATGTTGATCTGAAACTTTAAACATTGGTCTGCCGCGTGAATTTAAGACGTACATTAAGTTTCTTGGTCAGCTGTTGTAAATGAATTTTGAAAGCTTTATTTTCAGTTTATCGGATATAGTCGTTCAAAGTCATTAAGTCGAGAAACGCCGTCTTTCGGCACACGCATTAGACTTAGGTTTAGCTTTAGATAATGCAGCAGTGCGGTTGTCTTGACGTCAGCGCGGTAACAATGATGAGAAAGATGACGAGGGAGACGGCTGCTTCATTAGTCAAAAATCCCTCTGCCTTTAGGTGCCTAGCGAGAAAGTACACATGAAAGCTGACGATTATTCTACATTCTTGTTCATAAAGCTGGCTTCTTTGTTTAGAGTTTGCGCCTGCACGTTTGAATGCAGCTTGCCGAAACATGATTACATGTTTACTTATGATTATTATATAATTATGATAATTTTTATACTATGATGTGCGGTATATCTCCAGCTTCTGCTTTTGGATCGATGACAAAAATGGACGACGCTATGAAACTGAAATTCACGAAAGAATCAGGAATGGTCAATTTGTCTCTAATAATCTCTGGAAGACATCTGTTGGTGCATAAATGTAACTTATTGTATATCCGGCAGCTATTCCACCGGTACTCAGGTAAGTATTAGCAGTATGAACGCTTATCAAGAAGGAAACCAGTGTGCT